CCAACTGCAGCAATGAAAAATTATGGCTTTTGAGCTTGGTCATGTAGTTGTTGAAACAGTTGTAGGTCTAAAAGCATTGTAAAAAAAATGATTCATGACGAAGTGTGAGAATGGGAAAATCTCATTGTCACATTAATTATCTATTGACAGAAGATATACAGTAGGTGATGCAATGGCTTTGGATGTTCTTGTCTTTATTACCTCTTGGGGGAAAAGTTCAGATCATGAAATGAGTTTGGTGCTCTTGAGTGGACATTTGTCCTCATCACAAAACCACCTCATAATTCAGCGTGATGTAACAAAATTGGAGAGCTCAAATTGAGGAGGCTTAGAACCAGGAGCGTTAGGGAGTGATAAATCAGGCTAGAGGTGCAGGGCAATGTCGCTTGGGGTGACTTTCACAGCATCTGTGAGACAATGCCATCCCCATTACAAATCATTTTGCCAGGCAGACATCCTAAGGAGCTACACATACTCGAAGGGACAGATCAAGCTAGAAACAGTGTTAAAAAGCAGGCTGATCAGAGCTGGTCTAAGACCCTATTTTGTTCAACTGCCATTCGATTTTATGAGAACAGAGATTTTAATACTGTATTGAAGTCACATTCTGTAATTTTGCATTACCTCTGCTAATTTTCAGGGATTTTTTCAGAGTCATAACCAAGGAGCAGTAAGCATGATGCAAACTTATATAAATAAGAGTCCCTGAGGGGAATGTCTAAATATGGCTAACTACTGTAAGTATACTTAATTAAATTATATTAGCATAATAGCCTATGATAGACATCCATCTTTCAATTGCTAGTACAAATTCAGGCCAACACTGCTGCATTCCTATAGCTAACTATAAACTTTTTATGATTTATATGAAATGAATTGACAGTCTTCAGTTTAATTTTTAACACTTGACATCATTGTCTCAGTATAACCTTCAGAGGTGGCCGCAGCAGGTATCTCTGTTCACTGTCTCTACAAGAAGTCCCACTGGCAGCTATTTTGCTTATTACAAATATCACAACCTGGTCCACAGAGAGTAACATTTAACATGGGAGAAGATGTTGACACAGTTGTAGAATGTAAATAGTCACTATGAGACACTAAGCTCTTCTCAGGTCCATCTTTTACTTGTTGCACATGTTTTTTTCTGTCTGTCATGATACAGGGCTCAAATATCTAAGGCTAAGAATGAGACATATAGAAACTATATACATTATTGTTTATAGATAGTGTTTATATATAGTGTGTGTGTATATATATTATATAATATACAGAGTGGACCAAATGTGAAGTCCTTTTCATTCTATCTATGCATTTCTACAACTCAGTCTCAAAATGTACGTTTCTGTGTGTGTAAAGAAATTATTTTCAATCATTTGTGAAGACATCAGACCTTTAACATAGTTCATGAATTGACAATCTGACGGACACAGAAGGTTTCTGTGCTTAAGTCCTGTAAGCAAAACCCATGAAAGAAGAAAACTTAAGTACTGCAATATTCCACCTTGACTTATAGCCTTCCCCAGATTACTTCTTAAACTAGATACAACATATGATCTGCCATAACTAGGAAGAAGGGTAATTAACTGCCATATATTATATATTTGCAAGAGACACCGTGGATACATTTGCAAAGTGTTACTATTTTATTTTATGTATTAGCTGGCTTTAATTATATTCCTGAAGGAAGCTGAATTACAGCCCAACTGCAACACAGTCTGACAGTGGAGTAAGTTATAGCTGCCACCTTCATGGGGCTGTAGGCAACACAGCAAAATAAAGTGATCAGTTTCCTTCTTCAAATCTTCCAGACATGATTAGGTGAGAGACTAGTCGGAGATGGAAAAGTCTTTAGTCACAGACCTGTTGTTTTTTATTTCTGTCAGCTAGGTTTGACAGCTAAATATAATCTTCTGTGATGGAATCTAATGATTAATTAGGTAAAGCAGCTGCATCCAGCCTCTTGTGCAGTTATGACTTATGTTACCCTCACTGACTATAACCTCCATCAGCTCTGCTCAATTAACTGAGGTTAAGCATTATAGATTATTGAGAAATTGGGTGATGGTAAATCAGAATTACTTTCCCATTTTAAAAATAAAGGATGGTCAGGTGTTTCAGAGACAATATCCAGTGACAAGCACTTACAGAAGCATTCTCTGCCATAGATATTGGGTGGACAAATCATTAAAGATGGGGTTTATCATACCTGAATTTAGCCCTAAAAAGCTGCTCTTTAGGGAATGACCATACAGTCACCGGAAAGAAGCAGCCATTTCAGGGGATGAGTCTTCCTATGCAAACCAGCCAAGCTAGCTGGGACAAATCACCAACTAGTGGAACCTCTCTCTCCTTATTAACCGAAGAAGGACTCTTAATGCCTAGATGTCATGCTCGAGTTTCATGTGATCAAAGTGGAGTGAGATACAGCCATATTTGGATGCTTGAAATTGCTCATAGAAGATGTGGCAGAAGATCTTCAGAGGGTATGATGCCTCATTCTTCTTGAGGAGACTAACCTAATACCAAAAATCTTTCAAAATACTGTATGTACGGGCTGTGGAGACACACACAGAACCTGGAGATTTCATGGGCTTTGTACACCTAAAAATATGACTATGTAAGCTGTGTCTGTGCTAGTAATCTGAACATACACAGGGAAGCACCCAAGCACATCTATACTGTTAAATTGTTAAAATGATCCCTAGCTTGGTTTCAGACCATGTCAGGCTAGCACTTTTGTAACCAGTTGCTGAGCGTGGTGCAGAACCTAGCATAGTCCAGGGACCGCTTCCAACAGCAGTTTGTGTGTGGTAACCCTGCTGTGAAGGGTAAGAGAGTTCAATAGTATGGAAAGATGTTGCTCCATGCCAAATGACCTTAATGTCAGAGAGTGGGCATGTTTAATTTATTAATCCATTTAAGGCTTAATCTGAGACTATATGGCTTCTTCTGCAACATTTTCTATGCTGCAAACTGGCCAGAAGCAAGGTACCCCTAAGACTATGAAGCCAAGCCAGTGTTGATATAGTTTGTCCCTCCATAGGATGGTTGAAATGACATAATAACCAGTACTAAATGGTTTTCAATTGACTCAATGCTTAGGCATCTGCCTGAAAAAGACCAATAAGCATCCCTCACGGTTTCTCAGAATAGTAATTTCTATGGTCTCTTATGTGTGGAACGACTGCTTCATTCTTCTCTATGCAGTGTGCAGTATTGGAACAGTCACAGATGTTTCCCCTTGTTATTTACTGTCTCATAGCTGCCATCTGTTCACTGCAGCCTCCTCTTGTCTCTCTACCAATACTTAGCTCATAAACTCTTTGGAAAAGCACACTTTTTGTCTCTAGAATGCTTGACCTAAAATCTCTGTGGTAATACAGGTGAAATAATAATAGTAATTACAATAGCATAAAAGCAGACTTCAGCAGTTGGAGGCAAGAAACAGAAAATTCACCCTAAATGCATGCATGTGTTTATTTCATGTATATGATTATTTCATATTCCTCTGAAATAATCTTTCTGAAATATAGCCACCTATTATCTACCTATATATAGTAAAGTAGTATTTTTGATGGGGAATTTTTGACAAATCAAAAAATATCACTGCGTTTTCTTGAAAGGAAGGGGAAGTGGAGAATAAAACATCAGATTTTAATGAACTGAAATTCTTCATGAAACCATAACCTTTTCAAATTTAACAGAACAAAACAAATAAACTGGCCCCCAGATAATGAAAATATAATTATTTTAAACCCTGCAAAATAGTCAAAGAAGAAAAATGAAAAAATGAACTTTTATTAATGAACATACATATTCTTCTAATGATATCAATTACCACTCAAGGACAGATACAAATGACACTGACTACTAGTATGGTTTCATGGAAATCACAGTCTTTATTTTTTGACAAAATGTATGTATGTTTTAATTGTAAAATTTATAAATAAACTCAATAATAAAAGACGTCTGGGAAAAAAAAAGGTCAATGAGACTGTATTCTACTTCATGCCAGCATTAAAAAGGGATATTTAAAAGACCTGTCCAACTGATCAATTAAATGACTCACTTGGATGGTCGACTGTGAAAGATGGTGACTGACCTGGTGCAATTCTCAGGTAAGTTGAGGGGTGAATGCTACATTGCAGATGTTATTACACAGTGGGACAGAGGTGCAGTGCTCTAGCGAGAGCTCTGGGAAGCATCAGACAGACAGTGCCTTTGTGCACTCCTTGGTGTGACACAGGAGCATGGCTAATGTATTGCATGTTTGTAGGACACCGCACCTCTGCTAGCCTGTCCTCGTGAGTAATGAGGAGACAGAACAGTAACCCTGCAGTCTCCGGATGGCTGGTGCGTGACTTGTGCTATGTTTGCCAAGCCCTCCTGCTAATGGAAAGGACACAATAAGAATGGGACTCTACAGGGTCAACATCGGGAGTCTCCAAGCATTCCCTCTGGGCCTGGTTCACACGGATGCATTTGCACACAGACACAGGTGTGCAGGCTGAGCATGGTCTAACCCTAAATCTACATGTGAATGCAAAGCTAAAGGTCAAATCCTAAAGTCTTCAAACAGTCAAAATGTCCATTGAAATCAATGTTATTCATTCCTGGGATGGGGAAATGATCCGTGTGTGTAGAGAGGAGGCAGTAAGTGCGTCCCTTGTCCTAGAGCTGGTGGAAGCTGGTTCTGCCTTAGATGCTGGCTTAACTGCTAATATTTGAAGACCAGGGACCACAGGGAAAAAAACTACAGTATTTTCTCCACTCAGATTTGCAGAGAAGGGATGAGAGGGTATGCTAAGTGACTTTATCTATAATACAGAGGAGCCACAGGGCAACCGGGAATTGGGCCTTCAAGGAGCTACTTCTGCATGAGGGCTGAAGGGAAGGAACTCCAGGACCTGGTCTGGAAGATGCTGTGTCAATGCTGCCTTTTTGAACTCTTACAGGTTACTGTGGTCAGCTCCTGATGGGTGCCTCATGGGGCATTGCCATCAGGTTGTACTTTCCTTTTTTTTCTTCAGGGATCCTTTCAGCTTTCTCCACAGACTATCCTTCCTCTTCATCTTCTTCTCTACTATGGGCAATGAGGACTCTTTCCTTCGGATTTCCCTCACTAGTCCATGGAAGACATCATCAATGTAGAAGCGGAGAGCAGCTGAAGTCTCAAAAAAGGAGCAGGAATATTCTCTGGCTAAGCTCATTCCTTCTTCAGTTGAGACCTAGAATGAAAAGAAAAATCTATAAATAGTGCCTAATGCACAGGGCATGAATCAACATGAGAGCATTATAGTATATGTAGTCTGACTTTTTGGATACTGCAAATCACCAACCTTTAATTTTAGAGGGAAGTATTCTAACAGCACCCCACAGAGAAGATTCAGGAGTGCAAGGATCAGTCTAAATCCATGAGGTGTTTGAACAGAACATATTGGAAATATTCTTGTGCTCAGGCTTATTATTTCCCTAATTCTGATGCATCAGTTTTTCCATGCATTTCCTCTCTTTAGTGCACTAATCCTGTACAGTTTGATAGTGCTGGTACCTTTTTTCCACACGCTGGAACAGATGGCCACAAAGACTTATGTAGAATTAAGGTCCTAGAAAATCCCTGTTCAGCATTAACCTAATCCTGGAGGCAACTTGACTCTTTAAGCACACCAGCTTTCATACCTTAAGATTTTTCAGTCACATTAATTTGTGAGCACACCTTTAAGTGTTTTGGTCTTGGCAGGCCTGTAATCCTATCACTTAGCTCAGGCCTGAGCTGTACAAAGATCCAAAATCTATTTGTTTTTCAGCTCATCTTCCATAAGTGGCTTTGTGTACTTACTGTTCTCAGAGAACATTAAGGAAATGTGTCTCTGTATTTTGAGGAATTGTAAGGGGAGGAAGCACCATGAATCTAGAAGGAACCAAGGGACCTTATTTTAATTTGCCTGAATTTTGAAACAGGAATCTTATTCCTAGAATTTCCATGTCTTGGTGTTTGACTTGTCAGCCTGCTCAGTGGAAGGGTGCTCAGCATGTTGGTTAACGTATGGTTTAAATAGAGTTTAAATGCTTATCATAAGGAGTACCACAGCCTACCACTTAAGGTACTATTTGCACTTTGGGAGCTCATCTAGAAACACATAGCAAGTCTGCAACAAAACAAGGAGCAAACCATATGAGCTTCTAAATATTAAGGTGGCTTTCCAGCCAGTAGACTATCCTTTCTTTTCAGTATTTTAACATAATAATGAATGAATGAACTGTATGAATGAAATATATGGTGTATATTCCAATTCTAGGTCAGAAATACCAGTCTCCATTTTTACTAGTATTTGGGTATCATGATTTATTCAAATAACTTTCCAAATATCTGGATAAAAAGGCAAAAAAGTACTTTGAGACAGCCTTGTGAAAGGCTGCATAACTAATCTTTGGGTTTTTTTTTTTTCTTATTCCTACCTTCACACACCCAAAGGTGTCATATTTATTAAGGAAATAAACCCTGATATTTCAAGACACAAGCAAACTCTCTCATACCTACCATGATACCCTTTATGATAAAGTTATGACATCATTATGCATTTTTTTTTTGAACTTATCTGTAAAGCTGGGCACAGTGAGAAACGGGATTTTCGATGAAACAGAAAATCAGTTCATTGCAGCCTGGAGGTAAATTTGCACCAAGCATGTACCCACACAACACAGACTACAGAATTCCTCCCCATCACCTTTGCATTGAGTCACAAACTTTGTAACATTACTGGGATCATTCCTCTATGTTGCAGGTATAATCTTAATTTAACTAAGAATATTGTAAGGGTAAGCAGGAAGGTTGTATGCCAACCTGAATAATACTGACACAATGAAAGATTGTTACCACTTTCCAACTGCTATAATTGCCAACCTTTAGCAAAAGGAGATGGGTAGCAATATGGTCCTTGTTTTTCTCTGGGCAGCTGTGTAAGCAAAGTGCGTGATTCAATATGTCTATTGGGCACCATTGAGAAATTGATTGTCTGGATAGAAGACTATTTTGGTCTATTTTGGACTTTATAATCATTTTTTTTCCCTTGGTATGCCTTGCTTGAGCTGTAGGAGGGTTTTTTATTTTGTTAAAAATGTTGCGGTTCTGAGCAAATAATTACACAGAGCTGCAGTTTCACTGAAGATTTTATATATTCATTACCTAAAAGGAAAAAAAATCCACATAAATTGAAATATGCTTTTGTTAAAGGATGGTAAGGCTGTAAATATACTTAGGGTGCAAGCACAGCAATACTCAAATACAAAAAAATTGCCCTTCCCATTGGTCCACGGTTTTCTAGTCTTTGCCCATCTAATTCCTCCTTTGTTCCACTCTTTTTTTTTTTTCCTTTTTTTTTGTATTTTCTAGGATCAAAACTATGTTTTCTCCCACCTGCAAGGAAGAACAACCGCAGGGAAGACATGCTATATTCTGTAATGAAACAAGACTGCTAAGAGCTGTGAGAACTGGAGAATACTCAGGAGAAATAAATTGTGCAGAAAAGCTTCCTCCCAGTCTCTATGTGGCTGGAGGCTTGTAACTTGGCCAAATTTGGCTCAATTTCTACAAAAAGGAGCAAAAGTTCAGTTTTGGACTTTGGTTTCCCACCAAATTACAGAGATAACATTAAAGTTATTAATGGCAATAGTTTGTTTCAAAGCATGGTCTTTTTCTTAAATCTTGCCCTCAGGAAGTGATTAACTGCTTTGGTGAAATTTTATTAACTAATTCAGCATGAGGAGGTTACCTGACACAAAGGATTTCAGGAAGTTTAGTTGAAGTTTTTCAGCTTCAAGGCTGGAAACAGACTTCTCTGAAATCTAATGCTGTCATGATTACCACTACTGCTTCCAGAACCAATGAAAATATAGGTATAGTAATTTAATTAATCTGGTTGCTGAAGAAACTGTAAATATAGAGAGATGTCTAGAGGAAAAATAGACATTTTTCTTCTGGTTCATAATTCGGTCAAGAGGCTAGACACTTATGGAATGAGAAACAAGGGATAAAGCCTTTGATGAGGTCACTGACACCAACATAATTCCAGGGATTTACCTTGTTCCCATCTTATTGCCAGAAGAGAAACTATATCATAGAAATCCATCCCAGATCTGCACAGCTCAGGGACTTGTTGACAAATTGCAGCTTCCGCGGGTCTGTATCAGCGGAAGATATGATCTGTCAGCGTGACACGGAGAGACAGGTCAGGGAGCAAGGTCTTTCTATCGAATATATATCTGGAAAGCAGAGCTTTATATCTCATCTTTAGAGTAACCCTCCATGATTGAATCTGGCATTGTTTCCCAGAGTATAATTTTGGTTATATTGATTCCAATTTAGCTCCTTCTTTTTATGGTAAACCTTAGGAAGGGAATGAAAGAGGAAGTCTGGTGTAGCGAAGATCATGAAAAATGAAAATTCAGGAGCTGGCAGAACCTACCTCAGTTTGATCCAAACTTCAAAAACTGAGAATGTCTGGGTAGGGTTTGGATCAGGACTCAGAGAAGTAGAGCATGAAGCTTGCGTATAACCAAAGAGCAAGATCCCCCAGAAGGACAAATCCATAAAATGGGTAATGAAGCCTCATGAAAATGATGTGTGAGCCCCAGAAAAAACAGTCTTTCCATGTCTTCCTCGCAAAGTGCATGGTTCTGAGTGCTCATTTGGGCACATGTGAGTTGAGAGGAAAGATATACCAGTTACAACAGCATGTGGACTGTGGATAGCACACGAGACTATAGGCTGAATTTGGAAGTTTTTCATCTCTGGATAGTTCAGGGCAACTGGGACAAAGCACAGCTTCATACTGGCAGGAAGTATTCACTGGTTACAAACCACATTTTATAGCATTAAGATTCTGTTGTGGCTTTTGCAAACCTCCCTTGGAAAATTACAAGTGAGATTAAATGCAATGCTGACAGCCTGTGAAAGCCATGATGGATGAGCTGCCATATTTAAGACAGCTAGTTCCCCACTAAGGTCAGCTTCTGCACAACCAAAAGGAGAGCACAAAGCCACCCGGGCTGGATGGTGGGTGGGGAGGCACTGGCAATCACTGTCCCCCATAGGCAGAACATAAAAATATCTGTATCTGAGAAGGGAAGCGCAAAGAAACTAAACAGATCAATAATCTACCTCTGCCCTTGGACTGTCATTAGCTGGCAAATCTCCATCAGGATCAGACTATTTTGTGCTCGGCTTTGTCTCTCCTTTGGTCAAGGCAGCAACAGAAGCATCACAAAGTAGATTTCATTGACAGAGATAGTATTAGCAGGGTCAACAGCATCACCTTGGGTGAGCCAAGTGGTGGCCTTCATGCAGGAAAGCAATGCATTTCCACTTGTGAATCCCACCCCTGCAACAACATGGTCTATTTAAGATGGCTTTTGCAGCCTTCCCTCTTTGATTTGGATCTCCAGGTTGCCATGGAGAGGTCTGCAGGTGGAGTGCTAAGGTTTGCAAAGATTCTCCTAAATTTTTGGTACAGACTTCCACCCTGGCAGTCCTCATTAACTTTGCAATGGGAAACAGAATGATAATTATAGAACAAAAAGCTCTGTTCTGTGATTTTTTTTTATTTTTTTTTGCTGAAGACATGGGGTCTTGATCATTAATCAGAGACAGATGGGGACACGTGTTGGCCAACAGAGTGCTCATCTAAATCCCACTGAGACTAATAGAAGGAATTCCAGTGGGTTTTGATCGAGCTCTATATTTCTGACAGGCAATACTTTATGTGAGCTGTAAACAAAAAATAACTGTTTAAGAGCATAGGGGGAAGGATGCAGCATCTTGAGCAGCCTTTTTTGTAACGCAACAAATAATAAGAGGAACAGGAAAAACCATGAGTACTCTGAATGATGTCTAGGAAACATCCACATCTCCCTCCATCTCTGGTGCACTTTTTCTGTTTCCTGACAGGCCCCATTGCAGAAAACAAGCAACCAGATGCAAGATTGTATATTAACACCTGGTTATCAGTTCAGAGACAGGCAGGCAATCCAGAAGAATCCACACAAATATTCACATCTCTCCCCATCACAGTCTATCCCCTCAGCATATCAGAATAAACACCATAAGCTTTGGGTACAGGCATAAACCTGTAATATGCCACAGGAAAAAGCTGAAGAGATCAAAGGTATTGATGATTTCCTAGGTCTCCAGTAAGCAAATTTGCCAAGAGAAAAAACAGAAAAATAATCT